GAGGGTGAGAGAGATAAGTAACAGGATATGCTCTCCACATATGAAAGCAACCTCAGAGCAAATCAGACTTTAAAATTACCAGTAACAAAATAAATAACATTTTAGTATCATACATAAAACAGAAACTAGATGGGAAAAGCTATCCACCCATTTTACAGTCACATACACTGTGCTCTTTCACTCTGAATATCTCATAGGAAATGATTAACTCCATTATTATGAACATATTGCAGCCTTTTGCACATGCTCCAGCAAATAGCCATTAGCATTATGATGCAAAGGTGATTGCATAGCATCTATCTCTTAGCCTTTATTCACTGAACATTTCAATATATCTGGTTTATTTGTAAAATTACTGTCTCCCATGTTTAAGATGCAGCTTAGGCTTGCTTTGCAGAACACCTATGACTTCCCACTAAACTCAGTGTACTTCTATAACCTTTCTTGTTACAGATAAAAACATAATTCAGTGTTGACTCTAACACAAACAGGATCATTATGTTTAGAGAGTGTTCCAAAGCCTGCTATCCTAGCAATCTATGACATATAAATAATGCAAGACCTCTTCTTTCTCCAAATGACTTCAGTTCAAGCGGAGACTCAGAAAGATGGAAGCCCAAATTTATACTGCCATTACAAAATTCAATCTATTTCTGGTTCTCCAATTGAATTATGACTCAGGCTTCCACTATTTTCTGCACCAACCCACATGCTCCTAACCCATGCAGAAAAGAATCCTATTTGTGAATATCCCTGAGCTTTATTATTATTATATTAAAATTGCAGCAAATCCCAACTAATCTGAAAAGCTTCATGTTTGCTTTTAAAGGAAAGTAAGGTAGAAAATGGGCCTTATTTCCCTCCCCCCTGACCTTTGAACCACAACCTCCTCGCCACTAAAGCGTTCAACACCTCATTTAATCTCTCCTCGCTGCATTGGCACAGCACTGCAAAAAGAAAAGGGAAAAAAATAATCTGGGGACTTCATCAATTTTTCATGAATTTTCATTTAGGCCAAAGCCCCCTGTACCAGTGGTCGATAGATCAAGCTGCTGTCACATATTTAACACCTGGAGCTACAGCTGCTCTCCCTGGGGGCTGCCGCTGACTCCGGCTGGATCAGAGGCAGCCCTGGCCAGCGTGGGGACCCCGGCGCTCCTTCCCCGCTCGCATGTGGCGCCCCAGTTCTCCCAGATGAAATCCTAGCTACACTCACTGCTGCAAATGTGTTTCCTGATATTCCCACTGGAAAACTCCACCACGCAGCTTCGATCGCCTCAACTGGTGGTGCATTGTTAAAAAAAATGTGCTTTTATTTTTAAGACTTCTGGCGTCCGAATACGAAAGCAGTTTGGTGAAAGATGAAGCTGTTTCAAGCTTACTTCACCTTCTAAATTCTCCCATGAAAATCTGAACATCAACGTAAATCTAATAATTGTTCAATTCCAATTAAAAAATTCTAATGGACAAAACCAAAAGAAAGCTGTTTTACTCTTTTAAATACAACTCTTCACAGAGGTTTTAGGCTAGAACATCTGTTTTTAATGATTTAACCATAAAACAGAAACACTACATGAGAATTTTGCCACGTATAATTTGGAAGACTTTTTTGACTGGTATCGTTAGGATTATTTTTTCCTTCTGAGGAAGTTCATACAGAAGATTTAATCTGCATGAAGCACACCATGAATTAATGCATTAAAACAATAAATAGAATAAGTCATATCAACCCTAAACTGTGCCTTCAGATAATAACTCTTTCTATAAAATACCAACTATTTCTTCTTAAATGTCTACAGGAATGAAGATATTCTAAATTAAAAGCAAAAGTATTCTAAAAGCAATTTTAATATATCAATGATTGTTTTTTAACTTTATAAATCACAGTTCTTCACTGTTTTACTGTCATGGACAATTTTTTCTGAGGCTATACATCAGTACAAAAATACCTGCCCTGGACTGTATGCATGTTCTCTGAAGAGGCATGGATTTAGAATAACTTATGTATAGATAAGGTTTACCCCTGTATAGGGGCTAGTAGCTAAATTCATGTTTGGGAAAGGTGTATACAGTTACTCAAAAAAAAGAGCTTAGGAATTTCAGCAACTTGAAGACACTCACTCCAAAAAAAAAACCCAAAAGGGCAAAATAACTGTGTTAAAGATGGTTTGAACCACTCTGTGTCCCAGCTGAATTTAACTTCTATCTTTACACATAAATATGGATAAATCAGAAGACTTTCAATCCCACTGCTTTTGTGACATGGAGGAAGTAAAGAAAAAAAATAAAAGAAAATTAATCATAATTAACACTGTTCATCATATTAATGCATAAGCACAAACACATCTAACATATCTATAACATATATATAAACCAAACAGATATTTCTTCATAAACCATTCAAAAGTTGCAAGGGCACAGTATTAGCCACTGCCAATTCCATAAGCAAAGTAAAACAACTACCATATCTTACTCTAAAACAGCACTTTTAAGCATTTTAAACCTGTAAAAACCATCAGTTTGCCCCTCATGGCACTATCTGAGGCCACCTACAGTCAGATAATAATCCAGAACCCTGTTGACAGCAAAGGACAAGAGTCCTGTTTCTGGTGATTAAAACAGCTTGGCTTGGTGTGGAAAGAAGAGTTTTCAACACCGTGACAGCGAGCACGAGTCAGACCAGATCATGTGCAGCCCCATGGACAGGACTGCAGCATCCAGGCGACTCAACAGCTTTCCAGCAGGAGTTGAGGACAGGAGAATGGGAACTCACTGTTGACAGCCTGTCACCAGGAACTCATTTCCCAAGCATGCAAACAGGCTGCTACAGACCTGCCCATCTTCTTCAGCTCAGAAATGCTGACACTAAACAAACAAGAGACTCCAACTTTCCCCTGAAAGTCACTTGAAAATTTTACTTATGACCAAAAATTATCTCAAACCCAAGCAAAAACTGTAGTTTTGCTTTCATCTTCCAAAGGATGCCTTTGATAAACACCAAGCACTGCCATGTGCTTTTAAAAATCACAGCATAATCTCTAAAATTAGGTAAACAAGCCCTGTATGTATTATTTACATTTTTTTTCTTTGATAAAGACCTTTCTGTAATCACAAACATGGTACTGTTCAATGAACGATAAAGCACTGTTGAAATGAAATGGGAGAGCCTGCTTTAGACAACTAAACCCTTTAACTGGGGGGTTCAGGAAGCTGAATTTCAAAGCTATGGAAACAGCAAAAGCACAATGTTATTACAAAACCTTTGGCCATGGTTTCAGATACCAGTTTCACATTCACTTTGCTCCTGTTGTAAAATACCTGATGAAGGAGAATAGCTTTATTATTTTTAAAGTTTTCTGCTATTTCTTATATGATTCATGCCTCACCTGCTACCAGCAGTTAAATTCCAAAGACTGGAGATGGTGTAACAAGAGTCTCACAATAGGCAGTGAAGTAAGGATCAGTGAAAACTGACAAGATATACAACACATTTAAATTTCAAAATAATCGGTCGCTTCAATTTTATGACTCAAGGTACAACTGGCACAATCTTTTGAACTTCAACAGGAGATTCTGAATCTCAGTAGGATTACAATAAAGATTTCAAGTGTTTAGGTCTCTCTTTTAGGATTTCTCAACAATTAAAACACATGTATAAAGACACAAATAATCCAGTAAATTTATCTAATAATACTCACCCCGATTTCAGCCTTCTTTAAACTGGTTTCTCCTCAACTCCCAGATACCAACCAAAACTGAAAAACTTTCTGTAATGCATTACTGGCACATTTACTTCTGCTTTCATAGTGTGCCAAAACTGTTTTCATTTTTTGTTTGACATAGTTTTGAATCTAGTTTACAATAGGTGAAATGTAGCAAAAATGTCTGTTCTACTTGGCTTATACTGCCATTTAAATATTTTATAAATGGCATTTTCTGCAATTTCTGAGAAAACAGAAGCCTCAAGATCAACCATATTAGCTATGAAAGTCTGAAGATTGCATTAGAAACAAAGATTTCTCTTCTGTGCTTCCTCCCTTTAAACATACCATCTCCTGTGGACTTAAATCCATTCTTTATCAACTAAGCAGTAAAAATTTGTTCTAAAGCCCTACTTCAAACACATTTTAGGGAAACCACTTTCAGATGAAGAGCTGCGGATGAAAAACTCTAGCCCAGCAAGAAGGGAGCCCTCATAAATCTATTAAAATACAATAATAGGCAAAGATGCACATTCTGAATAAAAAAATCAGTGTTGATTTGACCCATAACTAAGCAGCAAAAAAACCCCATGTGCAACTGATTATATTTTATGTCTGATGAGCCTGTTTGCTGTGAATATAATGAATGTATCTGCTAACTCTACTGGAAGCAGACTACTCATGCCAGGTGGGCTCTGAAAGAGCCCTGTTGACTTCTCTGTTAAGACAAAGAGAATCAATAAAGACCAAGACTGCCCTGGATGATATGAGAAATGGCCAACAATTTCACTTGCCATTCACATAATGAATGAGGCCTGGGTCAAATTTATGATTGAGGAGTATATATTGAGGTTTCTAGCAGTACAGAACATGAGTCACCAAGATGCTGTCTGCTTCTGTTGAGGTAACAGATTATGAGATAAAGAGAAACAGACAGTATACCTTAGATTAAATGATAGGTATTTTTCCACATTAGTTCCAGTATAATCAACTCTAGCCATCATTTAAAAATTAGATTATTCTTCAGAGGAAGATTATCCTTTGTCCATATTTGTGCCAATCATGATTATACTCTGGCTAGAAACTCATTCCAGTATAAATCACTTACTCCGTACAGTCACTGCTATGAATAAAGACATGTTAAAATGCCTTGACTAAGAGCAACAGCTAATGACAAAATGCTGTTATAACAAAGTGCATTTGTTATCTCCCAGGATGCTGGCTGTGTGCAAGTGCTGGGTGACAGCGTAAAAGCCACCATGAAGTTTTACAGAATACAAAACAAATAAAACTACTCACATGCCACTTCCAGAGATGCATTGCGACTCACAGCTTCTCCAAGGTAGTTCCTTGCTACGCAAACATAGCTTCCCTCGTCGGGTTTACTCCTGCGCCCGTGCACGATGCGTAAGAAAAATAAAGATCCGCTGGGCAGCAGCATCCGGTGGGAGCGCGGGTCATCCTTGTCCGTTTCCACCCGCTCGCCGTCCTTGTACCACTCGATGGTGGGGGTCGGCCTGCCCTCTGCTTTGCAGTTCAGAGTAGTTGGCTCGCCTTTAGACACTATCACATCTGAAGGATGCTCAACAATCCGCGGTGGAAAGTCCTCTTGGCGGAGACGGGATCCTAAGGAAAAGAACAAAGGGAAGAGAGAACAATTTATTTGTGCTTTGGGCATCATGAAGGGCTCTCGCAAGTTACTCCTTTAATGTTACAAAAACTCAAAAAAATAGAAAAAGAAAACCTATACAACATCTGAGATTGCTTTGTCTGATATCAGAGACTGTATCAGACACTCCCCTATATAAAAACCTGAGATGGACTAACAGAGATAACCCTCTATAATGTTATCAAACTCATACCAGATGCAGACTGTGCTTAGAGGATCATGTATGACAATTACACATCATGTATGACAATTATTTTTCTGATAATCTATTTACATTTACTTCCTGATCACTGTGCTCCCCTCATAGCTGCTGCTTTCTCATCCTTTCATCTGCCAGATTCAATAGAACATCCAAAACCATGGTATCCTGCCACCCCATTACTTAACAGTTCTTTGCAATTTAACGTGTACACTTTGTATCGCTTTTCTACAAACAGTTCCAGTATGGAAAGAGAACAAGAAAAAAGAAAGCTAAAAGGGAAATCTCAAATGTCAGCTCACTTTAGAAATTTTCAGTTTCAGGATTGCATGTCTACATACATGCACATACGCATAAATACAATATAGGCAAAGAATCATAGAATTGCCTGGGTTGGAAGGAACTTTTAAGCTCATCTGGTTCCAATCCCCTACCATGAGCAAGGACACCTTCCACTAAAACTAGGTTGCTTAGAGCCCAGTGCAACTTTACCTTGAACACTTCCTTCCACATTAAATGGTACAGACAGTCTCCACTCCTGCATATCTGATTAGACTACATGAGCCTGGAAAAATATTTCTGCAACAGTCACGGCAGTTTGTGCCTCAAAAATAATCTTTTCTAGCATGGATCCTGACAAGCCTTTGAGTGGAGTTGCCACAGTGCTTCAATTGGTCTGCACTTCTTAAATACAAGGTAAACCAACCTCTGCAGGTTAGTGAAACATTTGTCTCAATTTTCTGATCAGCAGTTTTGCTGAGTGGTAGAAAAGCAAATGTCTTAATTATAGTCTAGCCTCTACACACTTTAAAATATTTTCAATGCCTCATTTACTGCAAAAGTTATGAGGAAAGTCATAAGGATCCATTCAACAGAGTGAATCCACCTTTGGACTTCTGTTTTACTAACATTCAGGTCATTAAACTAAGGCTTGCCACTGCAGTTAAGTGTTACATTGCTGTTGCACAAATTGGCTCTTTCAGTGGCTTCCAGATGCTATTACCAGAACAGCAGAGAAATCCATAATCTGCAATGCCTGTACATGAAAAAACCCCATAATCTATAGCTAAGCACAGATGAACTTACAGGACATTTGGAAGAAAATGATATATTTTATTCTCATTTCTACTGACAAAAAAATCTAATAGGAGAATCTCCAGCTAAAAAATAACCCTAGTCCATGACCCCATACACAACATCGAAAAATACTGAAATCACCATTAAAGTAAATGACAGCACATGGAATTAAAAAGCCAGCTTCATACTTTGATTAGAAACATTTATATTTATAATACTCCAGACACAACTCTACCAACTTAATTCATTGCTTATTCTCAAAAAGCAAACAAAACCACACCAGTTGTGTTGAGAAATTTCTATTAACAGTATTGGGAAGAAAAGGAAAGTTGAGGTGTTTCTTCAACATGAGAGGGACTTTAGACAGAATAGATACAACTGAATTTTGATAAATACAGGGTAACAAAATTAGTAGCAAGAAACGCAAAACACAAATCCCAAATATTAGTTTGCTTGTACACAAAGATTTGTTGCTAGCGTTCAGAACTCCTAGAAGTATATCCCACACAGACTTACAGGCCATGTTTAAACCTGTGTAAAAAACTTCCTCCCATAAAATGTTTAACCTTATACAAGCCAAATAAAAACCCCTCCTGAGGTCACAATTGATTCTTCTTCTTCAGTACTGATGTTTATCACAAAACTGGTTTTTACTCACTCTATCCTAGTTAAGCAATTTGTGCTCAAGAGAGGGTTGAGATGTGAATGGCCAGGATCATGCCATTGTGCGAGGAGAAAAGTTCAGGAGGTGTTTCAAGGGGGCATCAGACCACACATTCCTGTGATGGCTGGGGACACCTTCAGCTATCCAGGGCTACAAGGAATTCCCCTCATCGTGCACTTAGAGGAGGGGAGAAACAAAGCACACACAAGATCGTTTACAGAGCACACTGAACTCCCTCCTACCAAAGTAAACTGAGCACCAACACACATTCCCAAAGGTTATGCTGATTTAGAAATAACACAGGAAACCAGAAATTTGGCTCCACTGCCTGTCTCTAGACCCTGTCTGCATATCAGAAAGAGACAGACGCAAGTTGTGTTCGAGTCTAGTTTTGATTCTTTCACTATGGTCCCCGCTACAATTCTCTTACAAGTACAGTCTCATTTAGAAAGAACACAAATTCTAATAACCCCATGAGCTGTCTGGGCAGAGGATACTTTTACTGCAGAGCAAGATGCAACCATGACCTTAAGCAGGCAGCTGTGGTGTATACTGGGCTACCCATACAGCTTCCTTTTCTATTCCTCCCTCCAGGATTTCTATTTGGTGCATGCATAGAGCATATGAGCAACCCCTGAGTTTAGGAGCCCTTAAGTCTTTACTATGATAGACTGAAATTACTTCACATGAGCTTTTACATACTGGTGGGCAAAACCAAAATTTCTACAATATTAGAATTGTTGGAGCTATTCCACAGGAGGGTTCCAGTGCCTCACCACCCTCACAGTCAAGAATTTATTCCTAATATCTAATCTAAAGCTACTGTCAGTTTAAATCATACCTCTTTGTCCTTTCACTCCAGGCTCTTGTAAAACATCTCTCTCCAGCTTTCCTTTAGGTTCCCTTCAGGTACTGGAAGGCCACAATTAGATCACCCCAAATCCTTCTCTTCCCCAGGCTGAACAATTCCAACTCTCTTAGCTTTTCCTCACAGCAGAGCTGCTCCGTCCTTCTGATCCCCTCTGGCCTGGCTGCAGCAGGTCCCTGTCCTTGCTGTGCTGGAGCCCAGAGCTGATGCAGCCCTGCAGGTGGGGTCTCAGCAGAGCGGGGCAGAGGGGCAGAATCCCCTCCCTGCCCTGCTGCCCACGGGGCTTGGGATAAGCCCAGGATACATTTGGCTTTTCAGGCTTCCAGCGCTCATGGCCAACTCATGTCCAGCTTAATGGTGTGCTGTGGCATGTTTATGTGTGATTAAATTAAACATCGAATTATCAACTTACATTGCCTAAGATACTGCAATACAATGTTTTGTCACTCTAACAACACAGCTTTCATTTTCAGATACCAGAGCCTGCTAACTACTGACTATTGCTGACCAGATAAATGCTGACTGATGGGAAACACTGTAGTTCTCATAATAACTGGTGACATTATAGATTTCTCATAAACTGTCACTTCATAGGTAAAGAACATTTGCATTCATATTCACCTTTATGTGAATAATTTCTGCAGCAGTCACTGCTAGTGTCTTTTGAGGTCAGGACACTGAGCAGGGGAAGTCCAGCCTCATACTAGAACCAAGCAAAAGGAAACTGCTGGGGGACACATTTTGTCACAAAAAAGCAAAAAGAATGCTCCAGTTACTTGTATGTCCCTGTGCAGCACACATACTGAAATATATTCACCAACATTTCTTACACTCTCCTTCCTGTACTATGAATTTATGTACTTATATATTCCTAATCAAAGTAGGGAAATAAAGTAAGAAAAGTGAGGAAAATTGATCAAAGGAGGAAAAAAAAAAAGTAGCCTGCATATTGTACTTCAGGCATCAACACTCTGCTCTTCAACTACCCTACTTTAACTTAATTCAGATGTGTTGGACAAGACCATCCCTGAGAATCACCTCCAAGACTACTCCTTTGGGAAGCATAAAATACCACAATCACTTGTCCATTTTGACCACTTCAACATCACAGTGCCAGCTAAGTCAGGTTGTCTCTGCAACTACCACTGAGCCTCATGGATTTGCTTTTATATGCTCAGACTTCCTCACAAGTCTCCTCAGGGATCCAGTGTACAATACAGTTGCAGCTACACCGGTAGCATATCAGCAGAAGGCCTAATATTTTTAGTTTAGCCTCACTGATCCTACAGTCAAATAATCCTAAAAAATTAATTGGATGCAATATTTTTTAATAATAAATGAAGTAGATTTGCTGTAGAAACACAGGTGCAAGCAGGAAAGGAGACTAAAGCAAAGAGTCAATACTCTATTACTTTTTGCTGCACTGCATTTCCTCAGAGCCACTATGCAATCCCTGTCCCAGGAGGAATCACAGAATGGTCTGGGTCTCTAAAGATCATCTCATTCCAATCCCTCTGCCAGGACTTGGCCAGCTTGCTCAGAGCTCTGTCCAACTTTTCTGGGATGGGGCATCCACAACTTCTCTGGGTAACCTGTTCCAGTGCCTCACCACCCTCACAGTTGAGAATGACTTCCTGGTATCTAAGCTAAACCCACTCTCTGTCAGTTTGAAGCCATTCCCCCTTGTCCTGTCACTCCATGCCCTTGTAAAGTCTCTTTCCATCTTTCTTGCAGGCTCCCTTCAGGTGGGAAGGCCTGGAAGGCTTCAATTAGGTCATGTGCTCTGTGTCTAGCATACACAAATCCTCACAGAAAAAGGCATTTGGCAATTCACTTTTTAGTCTTCCACTACCTTTCAAAATTTCTAGGAAGAGTCTTTCATTTATTGCACTTCACATTCTTCAGATTTTAATTTTCCTCACATAAAGGCCAAACATTGGTTTAATCTATTAAGCCTACTCTCTAAATAAGCGGCTACAAAGCTAATGGTCTGTCATACCAGAAAGCCAATGGTACCGACTAAATTCAGAGACATTTAACTAATTTCTCAAATCAACAAAACATTCATGGCTACTGGGCCAGTGGTGGTTGAGACAGGCTAGCAAATGCATTGCAACTACTGAACCATTTTAAAGAAAAAACAACATTG